AGAAGAGAGAGAGAGATAGGCAGAGGGACAGGGAGAGAGAAAGAGAGAGACAGGGGCCCTTGTAATCGGGTTGTCGAAACGGGCTCCGTGCGCCTCGTCGAAACTCAGGGTGAAGAGACCCCCATGGTGCTGGTGCTGGTTTCCTACTGCATAGCTGAGGGTTGAAATCGATACCGTTTCCAGGGTAACCAGTACGGCTACGGTGCCCGACACACGGGCGAAGGCACACGGGCCAAGGCTACCTACTCATGCATTTTCATGTGCCCGCCGAAAAAGGCCAAAGACAAGAGCGTTGCTGGCTCGCTCCGTGTCGGCCCGGTCGCTCGCGCGAGCGGGGCGAGTCCGCGCGTTCGAGTGACGAGCGGATTCTCCGATCCTGGGGGGAATTTTACAAAAGAATTCAATTTTCCAGAAGAGCGCCTCCTCTCGCCTAGATGAACTTTCTGCAAAAAGTATATGTATATACATTTATTAATTTAATTTTTAATATTATAATCGCGCGCTCCCTTCCTCACGCGCAAATTTGCCTCGCGCTCTCTCGCGCCGCGGGGACCGAGGACCATAATGAAGTGCGGTAAAACAAAACTCGCTTTCCTTTTAGCCCGGATTGTTTTTTCGTTTGGAATCAGTGAACTCGTTTCGCGGTGAATTTTCAGGCCAAATATTGGAGCCTCTATAACTTCGGTGTTCGGATTTATTTTTCGATTATGTGGAAGTGAAAAAAAATATACTCGCACAGGTCCGACACGGTTTCATTGCCAGGGTTAAAACGAGAAGCTATTTTCGTGCGTTTGTACCAGTGATACATACCTGAACCCACCTTCTCTTGACTTTTATGTCTAATTCTAGACCCTCGTAATTTTTTATAAGACCCAGTCCTTTCTTGCTGGGATTTGCAATCGCTTTCCTACGGTCGAAATACGTTAGCAGACCCGCGTGTCTTAATTGATACTTGAATTCGCTCCATTTTTGCGTCTATAATCCTGCGCTTTTGCAATCTTTTGTAAGATGTATCCGTCCCTCCCTAAATCTGTCGTCTTTTGCTTGCGCCGAGAAAAATGTCCGATTAAATACAAGCGGATAATCCAATCACAAACGAATATATTCGATTAAATTGTATATCCGATGAAAAATATGATCGGTTTTTCAATCAAATTTCATCGGTAACTGCATTTCGTCGGATAAATTTCATCGGATGTATCTATGATTTAATCGGAAAACGTAGTCGGAAAAATTAACCATCGGTGAAACTATTTAATTGGTGTATCCGATGGAAATTTTTCTCAGTGTACTTGCCGCTTGAAATGCATTGACGTTAGCGAACTCGCGTGTCTTAATATCGCGTTACTAGGAGAGCATCTAGGAGATATTAATTTACACATTACGTTACTCATTACACGCGGCGAGGAAACAAAAGAGAAATCTAGCTGCAAAAGCTCATCTCGTAAAACACTAAGGCCGGTATTTATAGTCAGACCTTATATTCAAGACCGTCTTGGATTTATCTAAAGATGCTGCACGGAAAAAACAATGTAGCTGCTGTAGCTAAAACTTAGCAAAATAGGGACAGCTAATATTTTTAGTTGTGATAACTCAATATTTTGCTACGACAGCAAACCGTTTGCTGTCGCACCTAATAGAATAGGCACAGTAGCAAAATATTGAGCTATCACAACTAAAATATTAGCTGTCCCTATTTTGCTAAGTTTTAGCTACAGCAGCTACATTGTTTTTTCCGTGTGTACGGGACGTTTCATTAGCTACGGAGTATCTAAAGATGATCTTGAAGACAGTCTTGAATCTAAGATCCGACTATGAATACTGGCCCAAGATTTGATTCTAAGTTCAACGTGTATAATACACATATCCACGCTGAGAAAAATTTCCATCGGGTAAACCAATTAAATAGTATTTCCGATGGTTAATTTTTCCGATTACTTTTTCCGATTGAATTACGGATACATCCGATGAGATGCAGTTACCGATAAAAATTGATGGAAAAACCGATCATATTTTTCAACGGATGTACAATTTGATCGGATATATCCGTTTGTTATTATGTAATAGGATTACCCGATTATATTGTATTTAATCGGATTTTTTCTCAGTGCACGTTTCTTCGCTCCACGTCTTTACTTTCGACCTAATCGACGATATCTGGTTGACGTGGATTGTATTAACAAATAAGATGTTAGTCCCGTAACTGCGATGAGCAAGATACTGGGCGGACAACAAAAGAAACAAGCAACAATAACTCTTTATGTCGTTCGCGACGGGAGGGGAGGGGGGGTCCGTTATCCGGGGCGGATCCGGATGGCACCTGCCCCATTTGTCCGCGTTGGAAGATACCGCGGATTGTTCGCCGCATTTTATCGCAAGGACGGCCTCCACGGTGTTATCACTGAAAAATGGCCGCGCCGTTGCGAGAGGTAGAACGGACCACCCGGTTCGTAACTTAATGCGTTACTTTGCGCGGCGGCGGCGGCGGCATCCTTTCTGCTCTCACTTCTGCTACCTTTCCCGCTTTCATCACGAGGCGCGGACCCTTGACGAAACCGCAATCTCGAAACTGCGCGGTCCTGAAGACCCGCGGCCCTCCTTCACGACTCCGATAATTATCGTCGAGGGAACGGCGTTGGAGCGCGTCCTCTCTCTTTCGTCCTCTTCCTCTCTGTCCTCGCTTTCCATCAGCGCGAGATAACATATGGACATAGAGGGAGCGCGCGCGCGAGAGAGAGAGGCGGGAAGAGGAAAAAAGCAGAAAATAAAACCGGTGCCACAATTCGCGAGCTGGTAATTGATTCTGAAACGCGCGCGCGGGATTCCCCGTGGCCGCGTTAGCGTATTATTTCGGCGGCCGCGTATCGCGACGCGGGCTCCGCGAGTGCGATATGTCGAATGGCAAAATTACTATTTCGACGCGCGGAGCCAATTACCGTAACCAACGATGTGTTGTAACGATCGCATATATGTAGTTACGCACGAGGGGATCGATTACAAACATGGTTTTTTTTTCTCGGTTACGACCGCTGTAAACAACGTTATGTTTATTTAACCGCGTTCTGCAAAAAAATTTAGAAGATGGGTCGCGGTCGGACAATTGTCAGCCGCTTTTCGCGCAAATGCGGTCATTTAATTAATGGCCGTTCGGGTAATCGCGGCGAACGTAAAAAAAACCATATGAATGCATAATGCGAGGGTGCAGGAAGGAAAAAAGCTTTGGGGGAAAAAAAAATATATATATACATAAAAAATTCAGTCCTTGAATCCAGGCTCGGGATTATCACGTGTATTTTTCGAGCGGACACGTATTTCAGTCCGAACGTCATTTTTAACTTGTAAAGCGAGTTGTGAAAAAAAAATCCGGGCTTACATTTAAAAAATTATTCCTCGGCGGAATGCACTTTCGGTTAACGCTCAAAGCAGACCGACGTGGCGGCGAAATGTTAAATTACATTTTAATATAAATTAGCGGAAAGAGAAGAGCGGCCGCCATTGTAATCCGCCATTTCCGCGAGAGCGGCCGCCCCGCGACGACTCGCGTTTCATCGCGGCGGACGTATGTACGGATAAAATAATTCCAATTGGCGATACGCCGTCGCTCTCTTTTTTTTTCCGGATTATCGTACGGACCGTTCTCCTACGATGGAAACGCGTTTGAATCTCCCGTCGAAATTTATAATCCGGCCGTTCTCCTCGCTGTATCCGCCCTCGCGCAGAATTAAACATTTCGGTAAGTAAGCCGCGCGCAAGGTCCGTATTTTACAAACGTGAAATCCGGAAGAACCAAACGTTTTAATCAATTCCGACCTCTCCCGGTACCTTAATTCGCTCAAGCCCCCTGTAATCGCTTTAACCCGGAAACCGTTAACGCGCAGCATTTTTACGAGGAGAAATCTCTTCCCGTTGCCCCTGGGTTGCGCGCAGGGAGGAGGGGGGAGGGGGAGGGCGGGGAAAATTCCGTTAAGGCGGCTACTTGATAACAAACGCGAGTGGCGTGCAAAAAAAGCGCGAACTCGAGGAGATGTGACGGGAATCAAGGACTTCCGTCGTCGCGCCGCGGGAGGAGGAACGAGGAGGAACTCCGTCGTTCCCCTCGTGTCGAACGAAACATTCCCTCCCCCGCAGGCGGCGTGTACCCGCGAGCGGTCCCGCGCACACGTGATCCTCTCGGCGGAGGAATATTTGCACGGTTCCCTCGTCGCTCTCGCTCCCCCTCGAGTGGCGCGCCGTAGAGCGGCAACATGATTTCTTTGTTACCTCATTGCCGTCGCGACGGCGCCGGCCGGGAGCTCGTATCTACAGGTTGTTGATTTTGCCATGGGTGCGGACTTTTCAACTTCTGCCCCGCTGCAACCGCCCCCCCCCCCACCCCGCAGCGCGTCGTCCACCCCGTCGTCGCCACCGTCCGCTTCTCTCTCTTCCTCCTGCCAGAGTCCCCCTTCGGCCGAATCGCCCCGGTTTCTTGCGTATAGGTGCGAAGGATCAATTACACCGCCGCGAACTCTCCTCGCTTCCTCGTCGACTCTGCCGGGGCTCGATTCTCGCGATTCTCCGCCGACTTGGAGAGACGCGGAGCCCTTTAATTGGCAAAAGGAGCCGCGTCTCGCATTTTTATGACCGGCACGGGTCCCCGACCCGGTTCTCGAATTACACGGGAGCTTTTTTCTTTGTCGGGGTTGCAAATGAATTGCGCGGCGTTAATCAAGGCGGGCAAAACCCACGGGGAGGGGGGGCTTCTAGTTTTTTTTCTTCTATTTTCGAAGCGATCAGCGTCGTACACCTTCGCGACGAAGTCCCGCGATCAGTCGCGAGAGAGCCCTTCCGTTTTGCCGGAATTTCGAAGCGAATTTAAATAGCGCGTGCGACACGTTTACCAGCGTTTACCAGCGCACGGATAACCGGGTTATTAAAATGTTTCTAGACGCCACTGGCCACTTGGTTGGATATTCTGTCAAACAAATATGCTTTTATTAATTCCCGTGGAGTTTGAAAAGTGGCGTTGGCGCGGGCAACGACGTTGTTCCGGGAGCCGCCTCAATTACGCAGCGAAACAAAGTTGGATAATAATTCTATTCGGAAATATTTCCGCCGCGGCGTGTGCAGGCGCGCGGGTGCCCCGAGATTTCCGCGATTCTGACAATAGCGGTCCGCGGTCTCTTACACCTCTGTAATTTAGGACCGCAAATAAACTCGTCGGGCGCATGCGACAATCGCGGCGCCCGAGCGTCAAAATAATTTAGCGATAAACAGCGCGCATCCGGTAATGAGTGCCAAAGTCCAAATAAATCAAAGATATTGACGTACGAATCGGGGAAATTGTATATTAAAATTTACGCTTAATCCCGCACGCGAACGCGAGAACTCGACGCCAATTTCCAATATCAATTTCCAATGTTTTCGCAACATTACGGTGGAAAAATATGAAATGGTGTACACAGAAGTATAATCTGGAAAAATAATTCTGCCGGGGCGAAGAAGGCAGGGCGAGGAGATCGAGGAATAAAATTGCATAATTAATACTTATACAAAATTCCCCGTCTGTCGCGTGTATCATCTCGCGGGCTCTTCAATTAAGGACACCGACGTTTATTAGTTTCATTGAAAAACGATAACGACGATAGCAAGCCGACGCAATTAAGCGTCGTTCGATTGCTCAAAATGTGTACGGAATTACGTGAAATTATATCACCGGCGTCTTTATCGCGCGGGGGTTTTTGCAATAATTAAAATAGCATCTGCCACATTTATTTATCAATTCATTCTCCTCGTTATACTTTGCCAGTACGTTTATTTAAAGGATCTCCCCGTCTCGGAATATTCAACATTTTCCCGATAGAGAAAAGATTGGCCCCTCGAACTCCCGGTGCAACTTGACTTACCTAGTTTCCCGAGTGGAGTTCATAGTGAAGTTCACGAGGCAATATTCATAAGAACAATAACTTTTGCAACATTTTTAGCAACAATTGCAAAACGCGGGATACGAAAAGCATTTCATTATCGCTCAAGAAATATTAGCGAATTGATATTTTAAACATTAATTTCAGAAACAGCAAATTCTCTTGCACCAGTTGGGGCCCGGTTAGGAATTTAAGGATTAAATTCGAATCAAACGAGCCAAAAACAAAAGTGAAAATCAGGCGTGAGTCGCGAAGCGCGTCCGCTTAGCCGATGTTTAAAAACCCAGCAAATTCTCTTGTACCAGTTGGGGCCCGGTTAGGAATTTAAAGATTAAATTCGAATCAAACGAGCCAAAAACAAAAGTGAAAATCAGGCGTGAGTCGTCGCGAAGCGCGTCCGCTTAGCCGCTGTTTAAAAACCCAGCAAATTCTCTTGTACCAGTTGGGGCCCAGTTAGGAGTTTAGAGATTAAATACGAATCGAACGAGCCAAGTGAAAAAAAAGAAGAATGGAACTCGGGCGTGAATTCGTCGCGAAGCGTGTTTGTTCAGCCACTATTGAAGAAAAAAGACAGCAAATTCTCTTACACCAATTGGGGCCCGGTTAGGGAGTTTAGAGATTAAATTCGAATCGAACGAGCCAAGTGAAAAAAAGAAACTGGGAATCGGGCGTGAATTGGTCGCGAAGCGTGTTCGTTTAGCCGCCGCGCCGGGCGTGCGCCGTCCCCGGGTTAGGCACCGGGCCCGTTAATTGAAATCCTCGCCGGCGGACCGCGCGTTAATTGCCTAATCGAATCGCGAAAGTCGCGCGGCCCCGCCGGACGCCCGCGAGCGCGGCGCGGCGTTTGAACCCACGGCGTTCCCGCCACATTATCGACTGG